ATGGATGGATGGATGGATGGATGGATGGATGGATGGATGGATGGATGAATGAGTAGGGTAGATGGATGGATGGTGTATGCAGATGGATGGAGTGAATGGATGAATGAGGTTAATGGCTGGGTGGCTGGGTGACAGCTCCAGGCAGCTGGAGAGAATATGGGGTAAATAAGCTCATGAAGACTGGAGATAATTTAGATAAAGCTCCAAGCTTTGTGAGCCTTGGCCCCAGGTCAGGTCAGCAGCACTGTCTTATCAGCCAGCCCTGACTGAGTTGTGGGCTTGCTGCCTCTGCCAGCTCCGGCTGCTTGTCTGAGGGCTGAAAACATTCAGTCTTACTTGCTGGTGCTGTGAAAGAGCACAACAGCCTGAGCAGAGCAGGATGCAGCTGCAGCCAGAAGATATCTGTCCCTCAGGGTATTCAGCCTCTCAGGCTCAGGACCTACACAAGATGGTGCCATGCTTTACTGTGCAGTAACTCCCTGTGTTGACTTTCCTCTTGCCCCATCCTCCTGCAGGCTGAGAACATCATGTTCCTGGAGCTGGACCTCTCCCCTCCGGCAGTGTTTGAGTTTGAACGGAGCCGGGACCCGGCCGAGCAGGACCCACGGGCTCTGCACCTGGAGAGGCTGATGCACCTGGACAGCATCCTGGAGCGGCCGGCAGCCTCCCGGGTGAGGAAGTCCCGCTCCTGGTGAGTGATCATGTGGACATTTGGGCACTGGGGCTGGGACACCGTGTAAGGGACAGTGCTGGATTGAGGACCTGCAGCTGAGGGGATAGCTGCAGGAGTACAGGGCAGCCTGGAAGTGTTCCCTGTTCTCTATTTGAGACAAGTTTGGGGTTCAAGGCAGGGGTTCCAACCTTCCAACCCAAACCACTTCGAGATTCTCGGATTCTGTTCTACTGGCACAGGCTGCCCAAGGAGGTGGAGGACTCACCATCCCTGGAGCTGTTCCAGAGCTATGGAGATGTGGCACTAAGAGGGCAGTGGCACTGTGGATGGGTTGGGGTTGGACTTTGTGGTGTTTTCCAACCTGAACGATCCTCTGAAAAACAGGATGATGATGCAGTATATCACCATGTACATATGCCAAGGATGGTCATGCATAACATCCAGCGCTGCTCAGCACTGGATTTCCATCAGTGCTGCCTACATAGCAAGTCACTGAGAAAACAGCAGGATTCAGGGGGTGGAGACTGAGAAAGAGGAAGCAGAAGGAAAATGTTGGGGTTTTTTTTCTGCTTGTGCCACCCCCAGGTGCCAGACACCACGGTCGCTGCCATCCTCCACTACACACGCGTCCCTTGCTGCCAGCTCCCCACGCACCTCTGCGACACCGGCACAGGAATGATGGCCCCAGGACCCCCAGTCCCAGGATTCCCGACCCCAGGACCCCTAACCCCAGGACCTTCTGACCCCAGGACTGAGGCCACCTCTGCTCCAGGGCTGAACAGTGTCCCCAGCAGCAGCATCCTACCGCCTTCAGCTACTTATGTGCACTGTATGTGTGTGAGATGCTCCCTGCGGCTCTGAGACCATGGGAGCTGCCCTCTTCATCCTCCTTCCCCAACACACCCCTCCCAAGTCTGGATCTGTCACTTTATTTATTTAATGTATTTATTTATGGAGTGGTTGGCGAGCAGCTGGAATGTGCTCTCGCAGGACACCGAGCTGGGTCAGCTCTGGTGCTCTGAGCCCCCCTGGACCCCATTGGCTTTGACACAAGATGAGGTGGCTCCAGACACTCCTTGCTGTGTTCATTGGATCTCGAGTTTGCCATATAATTCGTGCTTGTGGCAACTCCTGCAAGACTTCAGAGACTTCCCAATGGCAGACCCTTGTGCTGAACTTGTCCAAGACCACAAGGAACACTCTGGACTGCATCGGCATTGGTGGCAGTGATGTCTCACTGATGTCTGGGCACAGCTGTCACTCCACAAATGCCAGCTCTGTGCACCAAGTGGGCTGACAGATTCACCAACCAAGTCAGCCCAGCGCAGCTCTCCTCTGGATAGTGCTGCACAGAGGTCACTTGGGGTCTGGAGGACATTTGGTGATTTTATGGGTTGTGGAGGGAGAGCTAATGAATGTGAAACGGGTAATGGATAGGAGAGGGGTGAGCAGTGAGGCTCCTCTGTCCAGCACAGAGCAATCTGAAACCCATCAAAAGCAGCATCTGCAGTTGCTAGGAGATTGAGTTGTGCTACAGCATCCTGATGAATGAGGGAGCGGCCTCGTCGTCCAGGAGGAAAGACATGGGTCTGCAAAGGGAAGGGTGCTGGAGCTAATCCCTGGGTGGGCAAGCTAAGAGATTACGGGTGGGGGCAGTGTTTTCTGCATGCAGGACCTCATCTAATTCCCAGGGAGGGTGGGAGGGGAACTTGCACTGATGTGAGGGAAGCACTGAGGGCAGCTGCTTTGGACCAAGTGCCACCTAACGAGGCCAGGCTGGGGGGTGCTCCTCTCCTGACCTGACCCATCTCCCATTCTACTGAGGTCTTCTCCCTTTGCCCTGTGCTGCCCTGCTGTGTGTTTTCTGATCTTCTGCTGCCATCATCCCTTCCCTGTTCATATCCCATAGCTGAAGTCTCATCCCCCAACTCAGAATGCAGCAGCCAAGTTGAGGGGCTGTGGGTTGCTGCTAGTACTTGTGTTCCATTTGAGTGGCCAGCTGGGCTCTTGCAGAAGTTTGCTGTTAGAAGAACTATGAGATACTGTCTGTGGCAGAGTGGTTAAATGTCTCATGAGCTTGCCCTGAAGTCCTTGCATATGTGGATATGAACTCAATAGTGAAGGCTGCCAGTTGGGTAGGGGAAGAAATTCTAGGGAAGGATGGTCAAGCATTCAGCACTATCCTTCTGTCCAACCTTCTGGTCGTCTTCATGCCTGTCCTTCTGCCCAACCTTCTGCCTATCCTTCTGCCTATCTTTCTGCCCAGCCTTCTGTCCAACCTGCTTTCCATCCCTGTCCATCTTTCTGCCCATCCTTCTGCCCATCCTTCCCCACGCAGTGAGCAGTGCACACAAGGAAGCAGCTTTAGGAAGCTGGGTCTCCTCTGTGGCTGGTGGTGAGTTCCTTCTGCCTGCAGACACATTCATAGTTGGGTTATGTCCCTGGAATTGTGAAACAAGTGGATGGGAGATCCAGCTCCTTCCTTCTTTTTCAGGATGGCCCTGGAATTGAAGATCAGAAAGTAAAGATCTAAGAAAGGGGAGAAGCTGTGTGCGTGGCATGGTGGCACAGTGGGGATGGGTTGGTGATTGGACTAGATGATCATAGCGGTCTTGTCCAACCTTAATGATTATGTCATTCTATGGCAGCCTGCAGGAGGATTTTCTCCCTTCCTCCTCATTTTCCAATTGCCTCAAGTTTCTTGACAGCCAGGCCAGCAGCTCACTGAGCCCAGGGATGGGGAACCAGAAGAGCTCAGAAGCCATCTGTTCTTTTTCCACCATGCTGAGCCCAAACCATAGAGCATTGGGTGGAAGGAAGCCCATGGGAACCTGCTCACATCTTGGGGAATGCACACCAGGGCTTCCTATGGTTGTCCTCCAGGGGACACTATCGGTTCCACCTGGAGGCTTTCCAGTGGGTTGGTGGCTGTGGGCTGCCCTACTCCAGCTTTATTCTTATTCTGTCCACATCCAAGCACTGCTTCGATGCCTCCATTGCATGGTGTAGGTCCAGAACTTCACTCTGTGTCTCCATGCATTGCTCCGACCTCAGCCTTCCAACGCAAAGCCCCAGGGAGGGCTCGGAGATGGGAAAGGGTGAGAGTGCTGTGGCACTTCCCCCCACCCCGCAGCCTCACCACGTCGCTGCAGCAACCTCAGATGTATATTTGTAATGTTCTTTGTCCTTTGTATGTTGGTGCGTGTGTATTTACATATGAATGTGTGTAGGTGTGTGTGGGTGTGCGCGCACGCGTGTGTGTAGCCAAGGGATCTATTTACCTTCCATGTGAGTGACTGTACAGGGGGGGGGGGGGGGGGTTGGTGGGCTTTTTTTTTTCTTTTTTGGTTATTTTTGGTTTCAGGTTCTTATTTTTTTTTGGCAGAGGGGGGGTGGGTGGCTGGGGGTGGGGGGGGTTTGTCTTGGATTGATTGGCAAGGTGAGGGCCTTGATGAGGACCAAATTTTTGTGCCTGTTGCTATGGTGATCTATTTAGGAATCAAAAGTTTACTGTATGGTGGCCCATCCTTGTCACATATGAATATACAGGACATAATATATATATATTATACATACCGTATGGAGAGAGGTCATGAATCTCACCCCCCTCTGGCTTTGGATGGACACCTCTTCAATATTCTGTAATGTAGCTTTGACTCAGTGCTGGACGTGACCAGAAAGTTCCAGCAATCCTCCAAAAACTGGCAATGACACCAATAAAATAATGAGCATCATTGCACAGAGCGTCTGTCGCATCCTTTGTCCTCGGCTCTGCACCACCAGGACATGTGTAGGCATTGGACTCGATTGTCCTTGTGGGTCCCTTCCAACTTAGAATCATAGAATCATAGAATCACCAAGGTTGGAAAAGACCTAAAAGCTCATCCAGTCCAACCGTTCACCCATTCCCAACAGCTCCCACTAAACCATGTCCCTCAACACAACATCCAGCCTTTCCTTGAACACCCCCAGGGTCGATGACTCCACCACCTCCCTGGGCACTTGAGACATTCTATGATCAAAGCAGACAAATTATGGTTTTGCTATGCAAGAGGGCTTTATAAAGAGCAAAGTATGAGCTCTGTGAGTACAGAGAGGCCCATGCAAGGTCGGTACACTGATTTTCAGGGATTTCAGTTGATGCACTCAACTGAGTTTCTTCCAGCTCGTCAGTGATGACATCAAGAATGGTACGTTGATTCTTTGGGCTTTCATTGCTCTTCCAGTTCCTTCTAACTTTGTGATGATGACATAGGGAATGGTACATTGATTTTTTTATGCGCTCACCCAGTTTCTTCCAGCTTCATGCTAATGTCATTGGGAGTGGACATGTGCTTTATCTACCAACAGCTCTTCCTTGCAGACTGCCATGAGCTCTTTGCTTATGTGTCCCTGGGCAAATCAAGGACAAGGCATACACTGAGAATAGGGAGCAGGAAGGCAATCCATAGGTGCATGATAATAAGATAGAATTGTAGAATGGCCTGGGTTGAAAAGGCCCACAATGCTCATCCAGTTCCAACCCCCTGCTGTGTGCAGGTCACCAACCAGCAGACCAGGCTGCACAGAGCCACATCCAGCCTGGCCTTGAATGCCTGCAGGGATGGGGCATCCACAGCCTCCTTGGGTGACCTGTTCCAGTGCCTCACCACCCCTCTGAATGAAAGATGAAGGAAAGATGATTCATTCCACACCAGGGAACAAATATCAGAGAAACAACAAACAAGAAATGCAATGATTTTTTTTTCCTTCAGTCTTCATTGAAAAGGTCAGTTGTGATCAGATGGCTCGTGATAAATGTCAGTGATAAAGGGCTGCGAACCCAGGCTAGGAAATGGTAGGTCAAGGACTACTTGTGTAGGTTGTATGTTTCCAGATCAGCTGGGCCTGATTAAATCTGTGGATTCCCTTGGCTATTGCATTTCATGGATATCGATGATTTGAGGATTTGAAGGTGTTACACAGGTACAAAGAAATTCTGGGTGAATTCCAAACTAGGTGAAGGGCATAGCAGGTCGTAGTGCTCTGTGCAGTGTTGACAAGACCAAGTGGGAATCACAGTGTAGAATCCTAAATGGTTTTATTGATGGTCTTAACTTGGTTGGATGGGATGGGTGGATGGGATGGATGCGTAGGGTAGATGGGTGGATCTTAAGTTGCACCAGGGGAGGTTTAGATTGGATGCTAGGAGGAATTTATTCATGAAAAAGAAGGTGAAGCACTGGAACAGTGTTGGAGTCCTCACCTCTGGAGATGTGGACATGATACTATGGGACTCAGAGGTCAGGTTGGTGGTTGAGCTTGGGGATGTTGACAGTCTTTTCCAACCTGAATAACCCTGTGATTCTGTAATATTTGCAATGAGTGTCTATGTTCTCCAGTTCTGATTAATTTTGCTTAGCGATTTGTTTGCTTGTTCTTTGGAGTTGGTTCAGTGTTTTTACAGCTGCCTACTGCAATGACAATATGCAGTGGATTTGGCAGCAAAGAGAATCTTCTCATTTCAGTTAGAAGCAGCTCCTGTACTTCTGTGAGTCCCTGGTCTTCATCACAACCAAGAGGCCACCCAACACTGCAGGGAAGATCTCTCTGCTCATTCAGCTCGCACTTTCATTAAATCCCAGCATAGCCTTTGGTATTCAGATTCCCCTGCAGATGGAAATCCCTTCAAAGACATGGGTTGGACCAGCTGCAGAGGAACCACAGGCAGCTCATGTGTCCCCAAGGGTCAGAGTAAAGGGTGAGCATGGTGTGATGGAGCAGATGGCTCTGAAGGAGAGCTGCACATCCTGCGGCAGCTACCAGCAATTAAAGCTCCCTGGAGAGCATCTGCTGCTGCTTTCAGACTGTTGCAAGATGGTTTTAGCATCCTGGGGCCCAGACCCTGACTGAAGGCATAAGAATCAGCTGTGGGACTGGGATTATTGATTGCAGAGCCACAGCTAATCCCTCCTGTCCTCCCCTACCACTCATCAGTGATGGTGAGAGGTTCTCTCAAGAGCATACAGAGGGGGCATGAAGACCTTCGGGGCCCTCAGCAGAGTTCCTGAGCTGTTCCTGAGTCACTGTGCTGAGCTGCTCCCTGTCCCAGCTTTCCTATCACCAAAACAGTGTAAACCAACCATTAGCATCTTTGTAAAGTACCCCAAGATTTACTTTTTATGAGGTTGCAAGGGCTAAATGTTTTTGCTGGTCAGGAGATTTTGAGGCATGTCGGCACAGAGGTGACTATAGCTGCTCTAAAAATGACACGTGGACTTCCCATGCAAAAGCACCAGGCCTCTATATCAGAAAGATTTGAGTTTTCTTGTTTCTGCCTATTTTTTCCCGTTCCTTGACGCTCTGAGGACACCCTGTGGAATTTTCCCTGTACTGCCGTGCCTCACCTTCACCCTTGCAGCGCGAATTTCCATGCCAGCAGAAGGATATGTTGATTACCTGTAACTGTTCTGCCTCTAAATTTGCTGCCCATGCATCCTCCACTTCGGGGATATACTCATAAGCAAGCACTGAGTGTTGCCAGCCACCAACTTCCCATGGCATCCCGTGCTACAGACGGGAAGTGCTTTACATCCCATCCTCCAAAGAAATGTTGGCTCGTGAAAGGAAGGAAAACAGCAGGACATAAACATTCTTTCTCCTTTGTGTGCTCTGAGTGCT